ACACACACACACACACACACGCACACACACATATATATATACACATATATATGTATATATAATGTGTATTTATATGTATATGTACTGTGTGTATTCTATTTGAATTTACATATATATAGTGTTCATATATATGTATATATATAGTATATATATATGTATGTGTGTGTGTGTATTCTATTTGATGAGAGTGAGGTTCAAGCATTGCCTCCTATCCCTCTTCATTTTCCCCTCCACTACAGAAGCTCTTGTTTGTGTGCCTTGTCTTTGTGAGAAAATTTATCCCATTCTTCTTTTCCCATCCCTTATCCCAGTGCATCCCTCTTTTTCACCCCCACATTCTTTTTCTGGAGATCATCCCAGGCTAATCAACTGACACTCATGCTCTCTGTCTATGCAGACTCTTTCTAACTGCTACAACAAGGACACAATATTCCTATATAGGGATGTAAGCAGTTTAACTCTGTTGAGTCCCTTATGATTATTGTTTCATGTTTATCTTTTTATGCTTCTCTTAAGTCTTCTAGTTGAATGTCAAATTTTATTTTCAGCTCTGGTCTTTTCATTGGGAATGCTTAGAAGTCCTCTATTTCATTAAATATCTATTCCCCCCACCCCTGAAGGATTATACTCAGTTTTGATGGGTAGATGATTCTTGGTTGTAATCCTAGCTCTTTTGCCCTTCAGAATATCATATTCCAAGTCCTTTCTTCCTTTAACATGGAAACTGCTAAATCTTATGTAATCCTAACTGTGGGTACAAGATATTTGAATTGCTTCTTTCTGACTGCATGCAATGTTTTCTCCTTGACCTGGGAGTTCTGGAATGTGGCTATTCCTGGGAGTTTTGATTTTGGGATCACTTTTTGAAGGTGATCAGTAGATTCTTTCCATTATTATTTTGCCATCTGGACCTAAGATATTGGGAAAATTTCCTTTGTAATTCTTTAAAATGCAGTGTCTAGGCTCTTGTTTCTTTTTTTTCTTTTTCTTTTTCTTTTCTTTTTTTGATCAAGGCATTCAGTTAGGCCAATATTTCTTAAATTATCTCTCCTCAAACTGTTTTCCAATTTAGTTGTTTTTCCACTGAAATATTTCACATTTCTTCTTTTTTTTTCATTCTTTTGACTTTGTTTTATTGTTTCTTAAAGTCTTATGGATTCATTAGCTTCCATTTTCCCAATTCTAATTTTAAGAAATTATTTTTTCAGTCAGTTTTTGTGCCTCTTTTTTTTCTTTTTTTAAAATAATTTATTTTAAGATGGCAGAGGAAAAGCAGTGACTTGCTAGAGCTCTCCACCAAACCCCTCCAGGTACCTACAAAAAATGGTCCTAAACAAATTCTAAAGCAGCAGAACCAACCAAAAAACAGAGTAAAACAAATTTCTATCCCAAGACAACCTGGTTGGCTGATGAGGAAGGTATATTGTGCCGGTCTGGGAGAGGAGCGCAGTTTGGTGTGGGAGCACAGGCCACAATGAACCTGGAGCAGGCTTCAGAGGACTAAATCGTGGACAGCTGTGGCGGTTTCCAGACTTCTCAACCCATGAACACCAAAGACAACTCAGAAGGTCAGTGGGAAAAGTCTGTGACTGCATTGAGAGAAGGAACTAGGTCTCAGCCGCAAGTGTCAAGAGCTGCCTCTAGGGCAGCCACTGCTTCCTGAGCTTCCGGCCCACAGACTGAGGGGGAATCGAGTGGCTGCTCAGAGGGAGATTGCAAGGATCTCTTTGCCAGGGCTGAGGCAGGAATCTCTTGCTTTGCCCTTGCTTGGATCTGGGTCACAGTTCTGAGGGGTGGTCCTGCAGTGAGGAAGAGTGCTGGAGTGGTAGAGCTTGTTGTGGTAGTAGAGAGGAAACACCTCACCCCTTATCATAGCACCTTGGAAGAACTGATACTTTTCAGGTCCCTAGAAGTATCTCTGAAAACTGCTGTACAAACCCCCAAAGCTTGAGACAGTACATTCTCCACATTGGAAACAGACTTTTACCTTCACAGAGTTTAAAACTCAGGTAATTGGTTGGGATCATGAGCA